GAACCCCGTTCACCAGATTACGAGTCCACCGCTCTTAACCACTACACCACACTGGCTCTTCACACTGGAAGAGAGCTGTTGCCTTCATACCCTGTGTTAGGTTTTATACCCTGATATTTTGCGTTTCCAGAAAAGCGTCAGAGCCCCAGGAGGACTCTTACTTCAGAGTAAACCTGGTGGGACCCTTGCTCCTGGAGGTCAGGAGCCCTTCTCAGCACCAGATTCCTCCCTGGAGGCTTTCTGCGCAGCAAGGAGACAGGCCACTCTCACTCCTGGATCTGCATACCTTGCTTGTGGGCATAGGAGCCAACTAGGTCTGAGGTACCATCACAAGTACAATAGGATTACCCCATCCTGTTAAATAGGAAAGCCACAAATCTCAGCAACAAATCATAAAAAAAAATATTAGCAGACAAATCAGCAACACAAACAGTAATCAGCATCCACAGTGCTTCAGTTTGCTTGAACATCATAAAGGCTTCCTTGAAGAAAGAAAAGAAACCGGTTTACCATTAGTGGGGAAGTGATTTTTGATGCCTCCTCCCTTCTCTTAATTATATACACAATAATAAGGCAGTTTGTACATGTCCGTATTGCCTAAATATATTGTTTTGTAGCCACTCCAAACCCTTGAGAGATGATTTCCTTATTACTCGGCCGCCCGCCTGCTGCCGCCGCCCTAATGTCTTTGCCAGAGATATTCTGGCAGGAATCAAGAGACCTTCCCAAGGTCATACTACACTTTGTCTTTATTGAGGATGGGTGAATATGCAGTTTTTAGTTTCTCACAGATACTCATTTTCCAACCTCACCCCATTTCCACATCTATTTGCATTTCACCCCCTAAAAATCTGCATGAAAATTGGTGTGCCATTTATTGTGGGCTTTTGCATACAATTTCCCCCTAATATAGCACACTTCCATGGAAATATGCATTTCTGTGCACACTTAGGGCCTGGAGAATTGCGTCACAAAACCAAGAGAAGTGTGAATTTCGAAAATGTGAGCTGAGTGAATTCCTTCCCTGTCCTTAATCTTCACCATGTGAAGCTGCACTGTGGGACTGCATATCACAGCACCAGTCACCTAGGCAAAGGCGTTTCCCCCAGCAAGTTCTTCTTTGAAGGGTAGTCGGGTTGCCAAGCCCCCAGGGCTGATGAAGTCTCCAGGTCTCCCTGCCCTCTTTCCTGGTGGCAGGGGGAGGGCTTTAATCTCCAGGTGGGTGAGAGCATCTTCCTTACCTAGGGTCCCTGAGCAGATGAGAGCAATCCTCTTACTTCCTCCAGAACACCCTCTTTAGCTAAGATTTCTGTCTTAATTTCTGACCAGTGACATATTTGCTCACGTGTCATTTTTTATTTGACTGATCTGCTCTCGGCAACTGATGTTAATGCTTAATGGGTCCTGCTTAAGGATGCAGACCCTGCCCCCTGTGACTTCACTGGGAGCCCCAGTGACATCACCAGGTGCTGCCTCTAGTTTAGGGTCTGGAATGCTCCTGACCCAGGACCCGTACAAGGAAGTCACTCAAACAACAACATGGACCAATGAAGGATTAGTCCACCTTTGCAACTGAGACCATGCTACTGTGGCTTGGGAACAGGACTTGCTGAGTGCAGCCTTCATCTTGGGATGTCTATGTCCTCTCTTAGGGCTCACCCACATGTAGGGCTAATCCATATTTACCTTTTGCCCCATGCTTTCCAAGCACAGGTCTGTGTACTAGCACTCCCCCCCCCAGGAAAACCTGCTCACATGCACCTCCTCATGCACACACCTTGCGCATCTCCCCCTGAAACCGCTGGCACACAGCAGGAGAGCCAGTGTGGTGTAGTGGTTAAGAGTGGTGGACTCGTAATCTGGGGAACCAGGTTTGCGTCTCCGCTCCTCCACATGCAGCTGCTGGGTAACCTTGGGCGAGTCACACTTCTCTGAAGTCTCTCAGCTTCACTCCCCTGACAGAGTGTTTGTTGTGGGGGAGGAAGGGAAAGGAGATTGTTAGCTGCTTTGAGACTCCTTTGGGTAGTGATAAAGCGGGATATCAAGTCCAAACTCCTCCTCCTCCTCCTCCTCCTCCTCCTCCTCCTCTTCTTCTTCTCCACCATCCTGCACTTTGTCCTCCACTGAGGCACCGTCCTCCTGTGCCCACATTTCTATAGCAGGCTCCCAAGAAGTAGAGAATCGATCAGCAGCAGATCCTCAGCTCCAGCCCTTCTCCCTATGCATGGTCTTCCCCCCTAGCTTCAGCTACTAACTACATCTCCTTGCAATCCAAGTTCCTCAGCTGCCCATCCACATTCTGGATCTCTCTGGCCACCCCTTCCATCTGGGAGCCATGCAGCTGGGCTCTTGCATCACTTTTACCTGCCTGTAGCAGGGCCCTCTCCTTGCACAGAGTCACGCTTTCCTCTCCACGGAGGTTTCTTGTTCCCTCTGCTTGCAGCTGTTTTATTTCACTAAACCATTGATTCTGCTGCTCCATCCGCTGCTGGCTTATTTTGTCAAACAGCTGGCTTTGTCACTCCATCTGTTGCTGGAGTATCAATCTGAACTGCTCCAGGAATGTGTAGTGGTTAAGAGTGGTGGACTCATAATCTGGTGAACTGGGTTCGCTTCCCCGCTCCTCCACATGCAGCTGCTGGGTAACCTTGGGCTAGTCACACTTCTCTGAAGTCTCTCAGCCTCACTCACCTCACAGAGTGTTTGTTGTGGGTGAGGAAGGGAAAGGAGATGGTTAGCTGCTTCGAGACTCCTTTGGGTAGTGATAAAGCGGGATATCAAGTCGAAACTCCTCCTCTTCTTCTTCTTCTCTTTCTCCCTCCATTTTGGCTCAGGCACATTTCGCTCACAGGCCCTCCTCCAGGAAACACAAATCTCAACTTCTGACACCGGCGTTGCATGCCACCCCAGTCTCCAAACTGTGCAAAATTCCAGGAGTTCCAGGCACTTACCCAATATCTATGCTTCCTTTTGGAAACAAGGCACAGCAGAAATTGCATTATCTTTAGGATATATGGTTTATTTACACATATATGCAATCTGAGCCTACGATGGAGCAGTTCACAGCATTAACACCCCAGAATGGTCTTGTTTCTCGCGTAGCCACAGCCCTGAATTCAAGCAGAAATCAGCCATGGTTCTCTCTACTTTTTCTAGCCTGCAGCCTTTTTTAAAAAAAACCCTCTAGTTCACATCACACACACTTTCAACTCTACTCCAAACTCTGGCTTTTTCTTCTAACTGACTCTGAGTTGGGGAGGGTCCCCACCCACATGCTTCCCTTAGGTTTCCACGTGAGTCCTTAGCTTTCTTAACGGGCCATCACTTTTCCTTTGTTTTCTTAATGACTCACTTCTCAGGCAATTACCTCATGAGGAAGCTAGCCTGCCTTATATTATAACACTTTAGCAAGGTCTGGCACCCAGTTTAACACTCCAATCCTGGATAAAATTCTAACACTGTACTGGATCAAGTAATTTATGCTATGAGTTTGTGGCACCCACAAACTCATAGCAATATGCACTCTGTACATATGTCCTGAAGTGGCTAAAAGAACACCTTGTGCCCACAGTATTCTTTGTGTATGGCATTAGATCTTCTGTCCACCTGAGCACTTCAATCTGGCTTGGTGATAATAGGATTTTTGAAACTGACAGCTGAATGTATACTCACATATTTGTACAGCAGGATGCATTTCCTGACCGGCAAGTCACACCATTTCAAAGAAATGAGACGTGTTTTCTAATAAGGGGAAACGTACGAAACTTTGCAGTATGTCCAGGACACGTTGCTAGGTGGGATTATTATATTTTAAGGGCATGAAAACATGCCTCCCTCCCAATACTTCTCATAAAGATACTTCTGGGAGGCTGACGCTGCTCTTGGCTACCTCAAACACTGCCAGATTTATTCTCAAAATATGCAAAAAGTTTTTGTTTTTTTTAAAGAGAGAATTTGCTTCCAAGCTTTGGATTTATATTGCAAATCTCCACCCTGAGTGTATGTTTACAGTTGCATTAAGCAGAGTTTATAATGGAAATGCTGATTGTGTTTTTCGTACTGCAGAATTACTGGGACAAGCTGACAAGGTTTTGATTCAGATAATATTTCAGGTGGGTGTGGTGTTTTATCCTTGCTCAGTGACATTTTCCAACAGTGAAGAATGTCTGCGTAATGAAATAGTTAGCTGTTGCGAGTCTGGAACTCCTACAGCTGCCTCTTGTCAACTGCAGCAATGAGGGTCCCTGCCCCCGCCTCCATTTCAAAAGGACAGCAACGTCCTAACATTTATTTTGTGGATGCAAACAAAAACCTAGTCACATTTGGGATACTGCTTCCAGTTCCTGGCACACCAAAGAGATACCGGGGAGCTGGGAAAGATGGAAGGAAGAAAGAAAGAAAATTTCAAAGGGGCCAGAGGGGTGTGTGTGTGTGTGTGTGTGTGTGTGTGTGTGTGTCCCCTTTGCAGAACTACAACTCCCTAGATTCAATGTATGGTTTGGATCAATCTTTGTCGCTCCCCTCCACACAATTTCAAAGCAACACCAGAGAGAGACACGTAGACAACACTGAAAGCCCAGGATGGTCGCACCCGCTTTCCCTTCACAAGTATTATTTTCCCCCCCAAAGCTTGCTAATTAAATCATTAACATTTTTTAAAATCTCCATTTAACTGTGGATAAAAAGCGTTTCATTAATATGCGCTGCCAGAGAGAGTGAGAAGCCCAAAGCTCTTGGAGGGGGAGGAGGGGGAGGAGGGAGGTGAAGATGGGATGGTGAGAGAGAGAGAGAGGGAGGGAGGGAGAGAGAGAGAGAGGGAGGGAGGGAGAGAGGCCTCTGTACAGAGTTCTGCAATTTTCTTGTTGCTTAAACCTGAACTATCCTGTACAAGCTGCTAGTCCAAGTGGAGGTCAGCCAAGCAGAGAGAGGTTGTGTAATCTTTTGCCCTTGTTGTTGTCCTGTTCAGATCCACCCTCCCCAAACTGCTATTTCATATTCATGCTAACGGCTTAGCTGGTTAGAGCATAGTGCTGACAATGCCAAGGTTGCAGGTTCGATCCCTGTAACAGCTGCATATTCCTGCATTGCAGGGGGTTGGACTAGATGATCCTCAGGTTCCCTTCCAACTCCATGATTCTATGAGATATAGGTCTATGAGAAAACGGGTCCTCCTCTTTATTTCCCTTCCCCTTCTCTCTTTTTCAGCTCCGGAGAGAGGGCAAGTTTGAGCAGGAAAACAGGAACTGAGAGGATAAAACAGCCCCATCGTCCTTCTTCCTCCAAGAAGTAATCTGACCAGCCTGTTTTGGCAAGAGAGGAAGATGCATGGAACATGAGCCATTTTCTTGCCTCGGCTGCCCTTCCTGGAAACAGCAGGAACCAGAGTGAAATAGGACTCTCCTGCCTCTTTCTGGCAGGGGTGGTTATTCTCAGTCCCTCTGGAGCAAGATTAGGGGATTCTGCTCCCCTCCAGATGTCACTGGACCCCACTTATTAGCAAATACAGGATGAATAAAAGAAAAAAGCTTCTTTATGCAATTCATAGTTAAAATATGGCACTGGCTCTCCCAGGAGGCAGTAATGGCCATCAACTTGGGTGGCTTTTAAACAGGGTTGGACCAATTCAAGGAGGAGAAAGTTAGTGATGCCTTCTTCTTATTGTTGTCTAGTCCTTTAGTTGTGTCCGACTCTTCATGACCCCCTGGACCAGAGCACGCCAGGCACTCCTATCTTCCACTGCCTCCTGCAGTTTGGTCAAACTCATGCTGGTAGCTTTGAGAACACTGTCCAACCATCTCGGCCTCTGTTGTCTCCTTATCCTTGTGCCCTCCATCTTTCCCAACATCAGGGTTTTTTCCAGGGAGTCTTCTCTTCTCATGAGGTAGCCAAAGTATTGGAGCCTCAGCTTCATGATCTGTCCTTCCAGTGAACACTCAGGGCTGATTTCCTTCAGAATGGAGAGGTTTGGTCTTCTTGCTGTCCATGGGACTCTCAAGAGTCTCCTCCAGCAGCAGAATTCAAAAGCATCAATTCTTCGGCGATCAGCCTTCTTTACGGTCCAGCTCTCACTTCCATACATATACATACATACATACATACATACATACACACACTAAGCATCTCAGAAATGCATTGTTACAAGCCCTGAACTTGAGCATCCTCTGGATAGGGGGCAGGGCATTTTTTCAATGGCTTTGTGGCCATTCAGAGGAGGTTGGAGAGCATCTCCTGCCCAACAAAGAGTCTTCTGGCCACCTTCTCAGCTTCAATCACTGTGGTGTAGTTGTTGTTTAGTCATTTAGTGGTGTCCGACTCTTTGTGACCCCATGGACCAGAGCACGCCAGGCACTCCTGTCCTCCACTGCCTCCCGCAGTTTGGTCAAACTCATGCTGGTAGCTTTGAGAACACTGTCCAGTGATGGCTATGATTGTTATACTCTCTCCCCACTGTCAGAGGCAACAATGCTTCTGAATACCAGTTGCTGTAAACCATAGGAGGGCAGAGAGCTCATGTGCCTTGCAGTTTTCCCTTTGGGGTACCTGGTTGGCCACTGTGAGAACAGAATGCTGGACTAGATGGCCCATTGGCCTGATCCAGCAGGATTCTGCAGCCAGCAATGCCAGCAGCCAGTCCAGCAATGTATGGAGAATTGTGGGTTCCTCATCCCTGTTTCATTCATTCATTTATTCACCAAATTCATTTGCTGAATTTATATCTCGCCTTTCCTCCCCAAAGAGCCCAGAGCAGCAAACAGATGTGCTATTTGAAAACGAAAACACTGTAAAGCAGATTAAAACATTTCAAAACAATTACAGTTAAAAGCATCTAAAATCATTTACACTTTAAAACCAATTCCTAAAGCAATTAAAAAGAGCAGCCAGATTGCTGGCTGGAGTTCTATTTAGCTATCCTATAGCCTATTTTAAATCAGATTGCTGTGCCGGTCACTCATTTGCTTCTGAGCCCAATTGAAGGTGCTCAAAACCAAGCCCTAAAAAACGACTCGGTCCCCAAATATCTGAAAGAGCACCCCCCTCCCTGCAGACCCCCTCGGGTGCTGAGATTGTTGGAGGGGACCCTTTCAGCAGCTCCTCTGCCCCCAGAGGCTTGTGGGGTGGCCCAGGGGGAGAGGGCCTTTTCTGTGGCAGCCCCTAAGTTGTGCAGCTCCCTCCCCACAGAGATGCACCCGTCACTTTCATTGTACAGCTTTTGGCAAATGAGGAAGACGCACCCTGGCTTTTGACGTTTGAGGTGTATATTTTTGGAGCCCACCCTATTTCTATAACTGTTAAGTTGTTTTGAACTATTTTAAACATTGTGTTTTAATTGTTGTAACCTGCTCTGGGACCTTAGGATGAAATTCGTCTAGATGGTAATAATTATTATAATTATTATATGAATTAGCACATGCAAATTGGCATCCTCTTTTTTGGTGATATGTTTCCTTTTTATTTTTTGGTGGTGTGTAATTGGTCTCCCTGGGATCATCAGCTGCTTGGAGACTCAGACTGAGGTCTTCCAGGGCTTGGCTGGGCCCCCTCCTCCCTGAGCTGGAGACCATCTCTGCTGAAAACCACCTCCTTTAGGATCTCAGGCCTCATTTAGCATCTCTGACTGCTCCACCTGATCCGCTCAGGTGAATGTTCTCTGTAGCTAATGAATGCCCTTGCCACTTCTTCTCCCCCCGAGAAAGGCATTCTGTCTAACAGGGGCAGGAATTTGAGACAGGGTGATGAAATGGCAATTCTTTTTAGCAAGAGGTATATAGCTCTTTTTTCTATATATATAAAAAATTAACATGTTTTACATAAAGCAATAAAAAATATCAATTGAAAATAGTGCTAAGGGACACTGGAAACAGTAGACATAATAAACAAATCAAAATACAGGTGGAATCTAGACCCATATAAAAAAAGTTGTGAAAATGCTTTGTTAAAAAGGTTTGAAAAAATATATTGAATTTGCAATAGCTCACCATCACCATCTAGTGTCCCATTTGTATAATGCACTTTACAACACAGTTAAAATGTTTTATTTGCAGCTGTAGTTTCCAGAGCTGGCATTCAGCAGCATTACTGTGTGAAGCCAGGGCACAGGCATGGACAGCCTTCTCCATGAATTTGTCTAATTCTATTTTGAAGTCACCCCAGTTGCTTGCCATGACTTCTTCCTGGGGGAGTGATTTCCATCGTTTGACCCTCCAATCTTTGTAAAGGCGCAGCAACCATGGCGAACAGTCAAGAACCAGGGAGTTAACTTTACCCAAAAGAAGGAGAAAGGAGGTGTAGCCCAGCAACCTCTGGGCATTGGCCACCCTCATGTAAAATGTTTAAATTCTGCCTTTCGGAAAAGGCCGAACTAATGAACAAAGAAAAAGAAATAAAGTACATACATTAAAAAACGCAAGCAAGAGAATTCTGCAACAGCAAAACACCATTACTTATTAAGGCAGGAAAGGGACTGACGGCCCTTTGGGGGAAAGGGGGGGCAGCTGATCTCCCCTCCGTCTCGTATCAAGGGTGTGTCTTTTCTTGTTCTATTTGGTTGCTCCACACTTCTGCTCCTGCCATAAATAAATTGCTTATTGGCTGCTCGGCTTCCCCCGGGCATTTCATCATCTGTTGGAAAAGCTGCAAGGAAGAAAGACAACGCAAAGAACAGGGATTCTCACAGACTCACAAAAACCCTTTGCATTCCCTTCCTCCTCTCATTCCACCCAAACCTTCAATGTCATGATTACTCTGAAATTTTGCAAAGAAAAAGAAAATCTGGATGGAGGGGGGAGAGTCGAGAGAAGGAAGGAACCTCCGCCCAAATCAAAGCATCGCTCAGAATGAAGCAGCTGTTGTTTTGTCAAGAGATAGCCTGTGGCTGGGGGTCTGAGATTGTCATGGCTAACAACGCATAATGACAGAGTGCTGTTTCGAAAAATGGCAGCAGCAGCTATTAACCTGATACGTTTTGTAATGGGATAATGACGGAGGGCAAATCCCTCGATTTGGTTGAAATATTCAGAGAGTTTAAGGGCCACCTCAAGAAGGCAGCGCCGGAGAAGGCTAATTGTGCATCTCTCTGAATTCCTGAGTGCGCTGCTTGCTTGGCCTTAAAGCTTGGCTAGGCAAGGGGGAGGAAAGTCAAGGAGAAGCTTCTGCAATGCAGATAGTGCACTGGTGTCCCCTGAGCCCCCCCCCCCCCAAGAAGCTCATCCCCATTAACGATCTGGTATGCCGACTGAGACCCTACCTGCCTATGCACTGTCTCGCCAGAGTGGTACATACCCTGGTTATCTCCTGCTTGGACTACTGCAATGTGCTCTACGTGGGGCTACATTTGAAGGTGACTCAGAAACTACAACTGATCCAGAATGCAGCAGCTAGACTAGTGACTGGGAGCAGCTGCCAGGACCATATAACACCAATTCTAGAGGATCTACATTGGCTCCCAGTACATTTCCGAGCACAATTCAGAGTGTTGGTGGACTAGATGGGGCAAGGACCAGCAGGCTCTTCATACATTCTCATAGGACATAAAGGAGGTTTTTCCACCTTCAGACATTCAGTGGGGCAAGGTAACCCTTCAGAACATAAGAGGTGCTATGGTGGATCACTCTAAGATCCATTTAGTCCAAGGATGGGGAGCCTATGGCCCAGCACATGGTCTAGAACAGGGGTAGGCAACCTAAGGCCCGGGGGCCGGATGCAGCCCAATCGCCTTCTAAATCCGGCCCATGGGTGGTGCAGGAATCAGCTTGTTTTTACATGAATAGAAAGTGTCCTTTTATTTAAAATGCCTCTCTGGGTTATTTGTGGGGCATAGGAATTCGTTCATCCCCCCCCCATATATATATTTATATATATATATATATATAGTCCTGCCCATGACATGGTCTGAGGGATGGTGGACCGGCCCACGGCTGGAAAAGGTTGCTGACCCCTGGTCTAGAACTCCCTCCATCCCCAACCACTGGCTGTGTGGGCTGAAGCTCATGAGAGGTTGTACCCAACAACTGAAGGTGCCAGTTCCCTATCCCTGTTTTACCACCCAAGAAAGCCAAGAATGCTTCACTTTTCCTG